AGGCCCTGCTGGTTGATTTTTCGAAGGAGAGGGTGCTTGCTTAGTGTTAGCACTAGGAAGGAGAAAATCTGTCAGACTTTACATAAAAAATATGTTGCTTATGCCCACTGTTTTCTAGTATGGTTTCTGCATAGGTGTCAGCATTTATTATCCTTAAGTAATTTAAAAAGCATTACTACTTAAACTATTATTCCTAAACAACAACAACAAAAAAGTATTTTACATAATTTTTTCTTAAGAAATTACTCTTTCCTTCGGTCACTTCCATTCTTTCAAACCAGCATATGTAACTCCTACTGAGCCCATTCCTAATCAACACAAATTCAGAGCATTCACTGATGGAATGAAATCAGGAGAACAAAGTACTAGCTGATATATTGTAGAAACAGAAAGATCTGGAATCAAGTCCCCAAATCTACTTTAATTTCCTTAATCTGTTCCATTCTTTCTGCTATTCTATGAACAGCCTAAATACACTTCTGCCTCAGGGCCTTTGCATTTACTGTTTCCTGGAAGATTCTTTTCACAGATAAGTACATAAATCATTCCTTTAGTTTCTTTTAATTCTGTTTGAATGCTACCTTGTTAGAGAGAATTTTTCTGACCATACTATTTAAAACAACTTCTCTCCCACTTCTCTGTCAATCTCCTTACCCTGCTTTATTTTTCTTCTTTCTCATCTCCAAGTAGAGTAAGCTCCATGAAAGCAGAGACCTAGTCTGTTTTGGCTTTTGGTGTAATCCCAGAGCCTAGATTATATCTGACACATAGTAAGCATTTTATGAATACTTGATGAATGAAAAAAAGATACTTATGGCCAGTTCTTGCTGCTTTGTTTTAAGAGGACTAGTGTTTAAGAGGACTAGTGATAAGTTATGCTGTATCCATAGGAAAGCCATCAGGGTCTAGATACCTTTCAGTTTAGGAATTAGATATATGCAGTGTGGATCCAGAAGAAAGGAGAAAGACCACTGGGTTATAGGAAGGCAGGTTTTGGCTGAAAGTAAGGAAGAACCTGCTAATGATTGCAGCTGTCTGAAGAGTATTTGATCAGTCTTTCTGTAGATGTTTATATAGATTATATGACTACTTTGGGGATAATTGTAGAGGAAACCTAAGCTTCTTGTGCAAATTAGATTATATTTCTTGTAACATCGGTTCTTAAAATGCATGATTCTGTATTGACTCAAAAATGAATAATTGAGGTTAGTTCTTCTGCAAAATGCTGCCAAACAGATGTATCTATTATGTTAACACCCTAAACCAGAGGTTGACAAATTGAATTGTACCTCCTGGGCCAAATCTGACCAGTCACCTCTTTTTGTAAATATTTTTGTTGGAACACAGCCATGACCATTTATTTACATATTGTCTATGGCTTCCTTCACACTATAATGCACAGTTGAGTAGTCACAACACAGACCACGTGGCCTGTAAAGCCTAAAATATTTACCATGTGGACGTTTACAGAACAAATTTGCCAACTTCTTCCCTAAATCTAAAAAATATGTGGAAACCTATCTCTATTCAGTTTCCCAAGTACTTTAATATTATCATCATCATTATCATTATTAACTTTGATATCAATAAAGATCTAACCACAGTAATATAAACTACTCTGAATATTTAAATAGAGGGAATTTAATGCAGGGAATTGGTTACATGGAGGAGGGAAGAGGCTGATAAGCCCATAGGTCAGCATCAGCAGGAAGATGGTGCCACTCCTACCAGCAAGGCACAGGAAGGAGGTACTTTCATCAGAACCTGAATACAGGAATCACATAACAGAAACCAGAATCATAGGTGGGAGGGTAGGGAGGATGAAGCTGTTGCCTGAAGTTGGAACCACAAAAAAGATTCTGCTTCTGCCTGAGATGCTGCCTGAGGCAGAGAGAGAATGAAAAAAATTACCTGGCTTCTCCAACTAGTGCCTTCCATTACCTGAACTCCAACCAAAAGTCACCTGACAAAGAAATCTGGGAAATGGAGCTCGCAGGGTTTGTTTCCCTAAAACACAAAGCATAGCAGAAAGGTGAGGGACAACTTGACCCAAGACCAGCAGAGCTGCTAATAGTTATTAAGTTCTATCTTCTGCCAGGTACAGAGCTAAAGATTTATATGAATCCTTACCTACTGGGTAAATACTAGTATAACACCCAATTTATAGAGAAGGCCTAGAAAATTAAGTAAATTGCTCAAGGCCATGAATTAAATAAATGACCAAGTTAGAAAGGAATCCAGGTCTGCCTTACTCCAAAACTCTTGCTTTTAGCCCTTTTGTTTTACAAATGAGAAAAAAGTAGTTTGAGGATATAAGAACTTTGCAGCTATTTAACGTAGGGTTAGGTCTAGAAGCCAGGTTACTCTTATTAGGTTTTTGTACAACTCAACAAAGTTAAAACCTTTCACGCTATTATTGTAGCATTTAGAGAGTGTCCAGAGGAGACTTCCACTTAGAATATGGGGGTGTCCTTGAACTGTGAAACTATTATGAAGCAACCTCTCTGTACCCCAATTTACTTTGTGGTAAAATGAGATTATTAATTTTAACTACCTCATAAGAGTGTTGAGAGGAATTCAGTAGACAGTACCTCTAAAAATCTCTGAAAAGTGGGCTACCATCTGCATTTAGTAAATACTAGCTAGCTATTGCTACTGCTAATCTTTTTGTTACACTGACTCTGAAAGCATTTATTACAGGAAAAGAGTAGATCAGAAATTTTATGAAATGTTATCCAAGTGCTTCATTAAACAATAATATCCTCTTACTGGACATTTTACTTTTCTTCTATTTAGGAGAATCATTAGAAGATACTAAAAAACAGCATTTTTGTTTGGTTTGCCTTTAAGCGAATGGCTCTCGTGATGTTTTAGTTTATTAAATCAAGGGCTTTTTTATGTACCAGTGCTATACATGTGAAATGTCATTTCCTCTTATGCTTCTCTCTTTCATCTAGGATGGACTTTTTCCAACCATTCCCAATATATGACCTTTTCCTTCCTGTCCCCAAAGCTTTACTTGGCTTCATTCATAATAGTCTCCCACTCCCCCAAGTCTTTTTCTTTCTTAACTAGTGCAATTCTTATCCTACTTTGGTACATGCTCAAGATTTTCTTTCTCAACCAATACTTCCCTAGCTAATCAGATGACACATTGATCTTTCACCTATATATAGCACCTATAGACAACTTGTAACATGCTGTCATATACTATTTATATTGCCTTAAATAGTTCTGTAGTTTTCCCGTTTTTGTCTTGTTCCTTTAACTGGATTGAAAGCCATGCTTAAAGAAACTTTTAGGTAGTTTGTGTTTTACAAATGCTTAAGTATTATGTGAAAACTTACAGCTAAAGTTCAAATTATGTGTATTTTTTTTTAAATTGATGATATTTGCTTTAAAAAGTAGTCTTGCTGTGTCGCAAAAGCCACTGACAACTTTGGTCCTTATGTGGGATTCCCTGGAAATAGCTAGAAAAGGAAGAAATTCCTCTAATTTAAAACATCCCAAAGATCCAAAAATTAACAGACTATGAAACAAAAGACCCTTGAAGCATATCCTTCCAACGTGATACACCATGTAGCCTGTGGTAAATGGTTATTTTTCTTTTTTTTTAAAAGGCAAGCAAGAAGAGTAATTTGACAAGAAGAAGAATCATTAGGTTTGGATTGGAGTATCATATTTAAATGTGCCGAAAATATTTTAAAATGCAGGACTCATAAGACAATATGGACCTACTGCCACTATTTTCAGAATCTGAGCCTTTGGACTTAATATGGTAAAGATTTGAAGCATAGTATATAGGAAGTAATGATGACCGCAAAGATATTTGCACATTACACGTTACATTTGTGGTCTATTATTATTGCACATATATTAAAGGGACATCTTTACAATGTCCTGAGCTCAGAAAACTGTACAAAGCAAATGTAGAGATCCAAGGGAAGATAGTAAAAAGTCCTTAAAATGATCTCTGAGAATGCCTGTAACATACTTGTCATTTATTCACAATTAAAAATTTTATCTAATGACACATTCTGTTCTTCCATATTTAATGGGAATGTTTTCTCAGAGTTTCAAAATCATTAACTTTAGTTTTTAAGTACTATAGCTGCAGAACTCTAAAAGATAAGTCAATCGTAGTCATATTACTCAAACACTGTGAGATGTTATAATTCTTGTGAACTTAAAGGTTGAGTTAGGATGACCCTGAGGTATTTGGAATCTAAACCTAGCTAGATTGGCAAGATTTTTCTCTTCAAAAAATTCAAGTAGAAGAAGCATTCCAAACTTTTAAAAACAAATAATCCTCTCTTCACCCTCTCAATATCCTCCCCCCCAACACATCTACATATTTTGGACCATTTAGTATTTTATTTTCTGTGATGTTAATAGATTAAATGTAAATCTTAATAAATCTAATTTCCTTGAATTCAAAGGTGTTTAGCCTTGAGGACTAGCATTTTGCCTAGTTATTCCACATTTAAAATATGGGTTTTTTTGTCATTGCTAGACAGTAAACAGCTATAGCAGTAGGAGTCCAAATCACAATTAATAGTTCTGAATGTCATCTTATAAACCTGCCTCTTGATTCATTAAAATAAAGATCTGGGAATAGCTATGGCAACTGGACCTCAAATATTGTTACCAAAAAGGATTTTATGTTTTAGTTTTTTCATCTGTTTTTAATGTATGTTTATAAGGAGATACCTGATGGATTGATTACAAAGAGGACTATGACATGTATTTGAGTGTAGAGTTATATGGAACTGTCTAACACTTAACTTTGTTTAAATTACTTCTGTAACTAAGATTACAATTCAAACACATCTGTCTGAATACCGATTGTAGAACAGTAAAGCAAATGCCGGAATTGCAGCCTGAGAGTAAGGTAGTGAATTAATATGATGGAGTTCAGGCAATTTTAATTTTAGAGACATTGTTCCTTGGTTTTGGTATTTCCCAACAATCGTACCATTCATGATTTTATTTTATTTTAGCCATGCCCTTTGGGTTCCCGAGATTTTCGAGAGAAACAGTGTGCAGACTTTGACAATATGCCTTTCCGAGGAAAGTATTATAACTGGAAACCCTATACTGGAGGTAATGTATAACCTGGCAGAGCATTCATGCTTGAGAGCTTTGCAAATATAAAAGAGTATATAAATACATAAAACACGCACATACATTCATGCACATACTAGCTAAAATCAGTGTTTGCAAATAAAAGCAGGAAAGTGCCTATAGTACTATAAAGGTCTCATGTTTTAGTTTCCCTATAATGAAGTTTATATATTAGTACAAATTATCACAAATCATTTCTTAAAACCTAATTCTATTTAAAAAGGTACAAAATTCCTAGAAAGGATATCTGCACATCAAAACTGTATAATACTTTGGAATTCTGCTTGAGATTTCTTTGAGTTACATATAAATTACATTATAATCTTTGAATATTTGCAATTATCTCTCTAAAACAAATTATAACAACATAAATCTGGAAAGTCTGTGTTCTTTCTTAGTCAAAAGCCAAGGATATTTCCACAGATTCTTTTTCAGAGTTAGGAAACATTTTTGCTCTTTAATTTGGGCACATATGGAGTATTAATTGTTCAGTAAGCAGAAGGTTTTTTTACACTCCCAAAATACAAACTACAAAATATAAAATTTTGTTGAAATTTTCTCTTGGAAAAATTAGACATACTTTTTAAAAATTTTTATATTATTATTGTTATTACTGACTTAGGGGGTACAAGTACAGTTTTGTTACATGGATTTATTGTGTAGTGGTGAAGTCTGGGCTTTTTGTATAACTATCATCTGTATAGTATATGTAGTGCCCATTAGGTATGAATATACGTTTAAGAAATATTTATTGTTTGTTTTTCTAACATCTTACTTTAAAAATTATCCAGTAGAGCAATATTAAAAGAATTTTACAGTGACAACTGTATATTCACCACCAAGATTGTACCATTAACATTTTACTCTACTTTCTTTATACATGTCTATTCATCTTTCTATTTATTAATCTATCTTATTTTTATATATTTCAAAGTAAATTCATCATTAATATGCTTTCCTCTAAATACTTAAGCATGCATAACATTAACCACAGTTCAATTATTTGTTTACTTTTTTCTTTTGAAGTAAGATTACATACAATGAAATGTACAAATCTTAACTGTACTTTCCCTGACTTTTGACAAATGCAAATACTTGTAAATCCCTATTGAGATATACAACATTACCATTACCTTCAAAATTCTCATGGTCATTGTCTTAGTTCAGACCACTATAACAAATTACCTACCATAAGCTGGGGGGCTTAAAAACTAGAAATTTATTTCTCACAGTTCTGGAGGCTGAAAATATGAGATGAGGGTGCCAACATGGTTGGATTCTGGTGAGGGCCCTCTTCTGGGTTGCAAACTGCCTCTTTCTCATTGTATCCTCACATGGCAGAAAGAGGAGGAAAGTGCTCTCTGGGGTCCCTTTTATAAGGGCAAATATCCCATTCATAACCCTCATGACCTTATTACTTCCCAAAGGCCCCACCTTCACATTGGGGATGAGGATTTCAACGTATGAATTTTGGGGGAACACATTGAGTCCATAAAAGTCATTATAGTCCTTTGCAGTGATTAGCTGCCTCTATCTGCTCCTCCCAAGAAACAACCATTGTTCAGATTTTTTTCCTCACCATACTTTAGTTTCGTCTTTCCAAAACTTCATAAAAATAAAATTATGCCATATACATTCTATGGTGTAAGTCTTCTTTAAGCTTGATGTTTTTGAGATTTATCCACATTGTTGTATATATTAATAGAAAGTAGTTGGTTATATCTGGGTGCAGTGACACGTACCTGTTGTCCCAGCTACTTGAGAGGCTGAGGTGGATTGCTTGAGCCAGGAGTTATGGGCTGTAGTGTGCTATGCTGATTGGGTGTTGGCACTAAGTTTGGCATTAATATTATATCCTTCTGGGGTGAGGGGCCACTAGGTTGCCTAAGGAGGGGTAAACCAGCCCAGGTCAGAAACAGAGGGGGTCCAAACTCCCCTGCTGAACAGTATGTGGATGATGCCTGTGAATAGCCACTGCACTCCAGCCTGGGCACTCTGTGTCTTAAAAAAAAAAAACCATTCCTTTTTATTGCTGAGCACTATTCCATTGTAGTAACAAGTTTGTTTTTTCATTCTGCTATTGATGGACACCTGGGTTGTTTCTAGTTTTTGGCTGTTATGAATAAGCTGCTATGAACAATTGTGTATAATCTTTTTGTGAGCATATGTTTTCATTGCACTTGGGTAAATACTTAGGAATGGAATTGCTGGGCAACAGGGTAGGTGTGAGTTTAGTTTTAAAAGAAACTGCCAGATACTTTTCCAAAGTGATTGTACCATACACTCCCACCAACAATGTATGAGCATTCCATTTGCTACACATCCTTGCCAACATTTGGTGGTTTTAGTCTTCTGGTGAGGATAGAGTGGTGTCTCAATGAAGTTTCAATTTTTCATTTTCTGATGATTAACTATGTTAAGCATATTTGCATGTACTTATTGGCCATTTATGTATCTTCTTTTGTATTGTCTGTTCAGATCTTTCGCCTGTTTTTAAATTGGGTTATTTATCTTCTCAAGTGGTAGTCATTTATCAGATAAGTTTTACAAATATTTTGTCACAGTCCGTGGCTTTCCTGTTATTTTAATGGTGTTTTGGGGTATATATATGTTTTTAATTTTTCAGTTTTTAATTCTAACTTTCTAATAATTTTTCTGGATGGTTATTGTGTTCTGTGTCCTGTCTAAGAAATATTTTCCTACCTAAACTCAAGAAGGTATTTTCTTACAGTTTGTTCTAAAAGCCTTACATTTAGATCTATGATCTCTCTCAAAATAATTTTTAGTATGGTGTGTATTTGTAGTGTATTTATGGATTATCTATTTTGTTTCATAGATCCATTTTTCAATCCTTTGCCAGTACAAAACTGATTTGACTACTGTAACTGTATAGTCTTGAACACAGGTTGTATAAGTTCCACCAACTTTGATCTTTCTTCAAGAGTTCTTCAGATATTCTATCTGCTTTGCATTTCCATATAGATTTTAGAATCAGTTGTTAATGTCTACAGAAAAACCTGCTGGGCTTATGATTTGGGTATTATGTTGAATCCATAGATCAATTGAGGGAGAACTGAGATGTTAATAATACTGAATTTTCCAGTTTATGAGGATGGTATAGCTCTCCATTTATTTATGTCTTCTTTAATTTCTCTCAACTATGTTTTATAGTTTTATGTGGAAGGTTCTGCACATCTGTTATTAAATCTATTCCTGAGTAATTTATGTTTTTGGACACTATCATTAATAAGACTTTTGAAAATTTCATTTTCAATAGTTTTCTCTAGTATGCAAAAGTAAAATTGACTTTTGTATATTAACTTTGTATTCTATGACCTTTCTAAATTCCCATGGTTTAACAGTTATTTTGTAAATGCTTATCATTTTCTTGGTAAATAGTCCTGTTATCTGGAAATAGAGATGATCTATTTCAATCTTTATGCCTTTTATTTCATTTTCTTGCCTTAATGCACTAGATTTGCCCTCCCATATAGTTTATGCATGTATTGTATTTTTTTCTTCTTTATTCTATTAACATGCTGAATGACTTTATAGATTTTATGATCTCAAACTTACCTTGTATTCCCAGGATAAAACCCCATGTGGTGATGATATGTTGTTTCTTATGTGTTATTGGATTTACTTTAATTGCTAATGTTTTATTAAGGATATTTGCATCTATATTCATAAAAGATACTGATTTGTAAGTATTTTTCTTGTGATGTTTTGGGCAAGTTTTGGTATCAGTGGTACTGCAGCTTTCCAAAATAGAATCCTTACTTATTTTGAAAGAGTTTTAGGATGATATTATTTTTTCCTTAGAATACCTCTCACTAGTAAAACCATCAGCCTTGGTATTTTCTTTGTGAAAATGCTTTTTCTTAAAAATTCAGGTCCTTTAATAGATAAAGGGATATTCACATTTTAAAAAAAATTTCTTCTGTTTCACTTTTTGATTTTGTGTCTTTAAGAAATTTATGTTACATCCATGTTGTCCAATTTATTACCATAAAATAGATCATAGCATTCTTTTATCATATTTAACATCTATAAAGTCTGTAATGATATATCCTCTTTCATTTCTGATATTGACAGTTTGTGTTTTCTCTGTTTTTCTTTATCAGTCTTCCTTGGGGTTTATCAATTTTATTAATATTTTCAAAGAACCAAACTCTGGCTTTATTACCTTTCTCTTTAATTTGTCTTTTTTCTAATTTTTAATTTTTGCTCTTTTATTTATTATTTCCTTTTTTATTGTCAGTTCATTTTGCTTTTTGTCATTCCCAGAATTTATTTTGTATTTTTATTTCCTTCAGTTCAAAATATTTTATTCACATTGTGATTTAACCTATGAGTTACTTAGAACTATGTTGTTTTAATTTCCATATATTTGAGATTTTCTAGATATCTTTTTGTTATTCATGTATAATTGAATTTCATTAAGATTAGAGAATATTCTTGGTGAATGTTCTATGTATACTTGAAAATAATGTGTTTTCTGCAGTTATTAGATATATAATGTTCTATAGATATCCATGATGTCAACTTGGCTGAGACTGTTGTTCCATCTTTTTATATTCTTTCTGATTTTTCTGCTCTAGCTCTTCTATCAATTATTGGGAGAGGTGTGTTAAAATCTCCAACTATTTTATGGCTTTGCTTTCTTTTTTTTTTTTGAGACAGAGTCTCACTCTCTTGCCTGGGCTAGAGTGCCGTGGCGTCAGCCTAGCTCACAGCAACCTCAAAGTCCTGGGCTCAAGCGATCCTCCTGCCTCAGCCTCCCGAGTAGCTGGGACTACAGACATGCGCCACCATGCCCGGCTAATTTTTTCTATATATTTTTAGTTGTCCAGCTAATTTCTTTCTATTTTTAGTAGAGATGGGGTCTCGCTCTTGCTCAGGCTGGTTTCGAACTCCTGAGCTCAAACAATCCGCCCGCCTCGGCCTCCCAGAGTGCTAGGATTACAGGTGTGAGCCAC